AGAGCTCCTGGAACAACTCCTCGCAGACTCGGCGCTCTCCTCAAACCCCAGTGCAAAACAGGGTCTCGAAGACATGGGTCTTCTCTTCACTTACCTCTCCGCTTACGGCGTCATCAGCAAAATCTCCTTCGATATGTCTCTCGCTCGAGGGCTAGACTACTACACTGGTGTCATCTACGAAGCTATCGTCGAAGCTTCCGCCCCACCGGGCTTCAAAGCCAACCCTTCTGTCGAACCATCCGCACCCCCCTCCGAGCCACCGAAAAAGAAGGCACCGAAGAAAGTGAAGAATGAAGACGGCGAAGAAGAAGAAGAAGTTGACGAATCCCAAGTCGGTGTTGGATCCATCGCCGCTGGAGGTCGTTACGATGGCCTCGTAGGTATGTTCAGTGCTGCCGCCTCGGGCTCGGGCTCCGGATCATCCACCAAAGGTTCTATACCCTGCGTCGGCATATCCATCGGTCTCGACCGCATCTTCGCCTTGGTTTGGCCTAAATGGGTCGAGAAAGGAAAACGCAACAAAGAGACTATGGTCTACGTCATGGCCGCTGGTGACGGTCTCCTCGTCGAACGGATGAAGCTCGTCAAGGAGCTTCGAGACGCAGGTATCAAGGTGGACTTTTTGGCGAAAAGGAAACCCAAGTTGCCGGTGCAGTTTTTGGCTGGAGAGAGGGACGAGGTGCCGTTTGCGGTTATACTTGGGGAGAATGAGATTAGGGAAGGGTATGTGATGGTGAAGCAGCAAAAGTGGGAGATGGTGGATGGGAAGAAGGTCAAGGTGGTTGCAGAGGGAGATGAGAAGGGGGAGAAGGTTGGGAGGAAGGAGCTTGTGGAGTGGCTGAGGGCGACGCAGATTTGGAAGGATTGGGAAGAGGGTAGGTTGTAATATACTACATACTGTACAAATTTGCCGAAATATTTAAATAATCTCAGAGACTAGGTAGATGTTGACTCAGAGGTACATAGATATAATTACTAGGAAGGTTTTAACTCAATATAACAGGATGGCAAAAACTCTCCGCTAAACTCTCCGCCAACTTTTGCTTCCGTTTTACCAAGCCTTCTACGAGGATTCTAGAGTTTATTCCGACATCCTCTAGAAGGCGGGTCACCAAGCTAGTCGAGAACGCGCACGGGTTGCATTTAGGCGCTCAGCACCTTCCTTCCCGAAGCTCATCGCAAGTAATATTCTCTTTCTTTTTGATCTCAGTCGGCTTTGTTTGGCTGCAGGGAACTTTTCCTATCTTGCTCCTTGGCTAGCAATAGCAATGGCAGTTACCCGATACCTTGCTCAACCACGCATCGAAGATCCCATATGGCTTGAACCAAGCGATGTTTCATTTCTTCGGACCCGTATCTCTGAAGCAGAGGCAAAATTACAGAGCATCGATGATGAAATCTCCAAGTCAGCTAAACTTGTTGAGATTGCCTCCCTCCGAAACATTCTTTCTCTCGTTCGTCGAGCTCCACCGGAGATTCTTTCAGAAATCTTCGAGTTTGTATGTGCTCATTGGGGGTTTGACTTTATCAAAACCATGCGCTGTGCGCTCGTCCTTGCTGCAGTATGTGCAGCACGGAGAAAGGTCGCCCTTGCCACACCGCGCATCTGGTCCACAATTAGCCTTCGTAATGATGAGGTTTGCAGAGTGGTGAACAAGGAGCAGAAGGACGAGGATGATTTTGAGCCCGAGGTTGCTGTAGATGTGGACTGGGTCCCAGAGTGGATCACTCGGAGTCAAGGCCCCTTGGACGTTATTTTGGATTGCTTTACTGCCAAGGAGTATGACTTTGCAGCAGGTCTATTGCTGGATCCGATCCTACAATTCTGCCACCGGATTCGATCATTGGATCTGACGGGGCTTCCACCATCTTTCCTTGACCTTTACTCTCTGCCGTCTTCTTCCCTGCCTTTACTGGAGAAGGTTTCTCTTACCCTTGCTATTGATGACGAAGACTTTGATGACGAGTTTGGTGGTTGGCTCACTCTTCTCCCTCGGAGAAGTGAGGTGTTTTTAGGAGCACTTAAATTATAATGTGTTAAAATTGTCGACAAGGAAACCCGGGAGCCAACTCTGCTAGAGGTTTTAGTGCTACCCGCAGAACAACTGACCACTCTCCATCTTGATATCACCTTGTCGTCGAAATCGAAATTTACCCTGCCTGACATGATCCTTTCCCGGTGGGATGATGAAACTCCGAGTGGTCAGGTATATGATCATGAATTAGTTAAATTGCAGGAGGTCCACTTCGCTGCTGAAAATATTCGTTTCAGGGATGATCACAGGTTTATCCGTATAACGCAACTGCCTGGTTTACTTGTCAAGTATCGAGGTAGTGGAAATTAGTAGAATTATGTATGTTTCGATGGTCCCATACTGTATCCAGGGCACTTCTCAGACAGCGTTACATGATATGTGGCAATTATCCGAAGTAAATAATTACTCTTTTTATCATACTCTTTATCGAATATCCTACTCAAGTATCAGTTATTGATCCATATTCCGTTGCAAAGCGCGAGGTCGACGCGTCGCGTATGGGCGCCAATATGCCTAACGCGACCCACGTGGTTAAGCGCTTGCCCTACGCCACTTTTTTTCACCATCTCTGTACGCTGCATCTTCAAAAATGGACTCAACCGATCCTTTTGAATGTTCTAGCGTCAATAATCTGCAGGATATATTCGACAAAGGATCCGGAATATCAGTGGCATCTAGATCTCGGTGAAAAACTTGGACTGAGATATCCTGGAGATATCCGGGAAAGGAAGAACCAGGAATCGACAAATGCAGACGAGTTGTAACCCGAGCATGGCCTAGAGATCCAAAAGGAGATACATTGAGCAAACAACGGATATACCACTCCGAATAGCACTCGTCTTTGGGGCTCTACGTTGTTGGACTTTTTCAGAGCCAATCGAATCCCATCGGCCCCGAATTTCATAGGGACTTGTACTGGAAGCATACTTGCTGGATCAATGAAAGCTAACGGGGAATTGGAGCACGCAAAGTCTGAAATAGCACGGGCTGAAGCGGAAGAAAAACCCTCCTGCAGCAGACATTATGGAAATAATTAATGCAAGGGACTTGGTGTTAATGATGGGCTCCTGTGGTATTTCGATGCGAGACGACGACGTTGACATGGAAGAGTCGGACGACAAACAAGAGCCTGTTGGTGTCCTCTATTTTTCCCTTTTCTTCTTGTGTCTGATTTGTTTCTGTACAGCTCGCAAAACCCCTTATTCTTCCATTCGACTACAAGAATTACCCTCACCCTTGGCCTCTTGTGCCTTTTTCTTCAAATCCTCCTACTCTACAGTTGCACATTCCTTTCCACCTGCTTCCCGAAACGCTTATTGTACACAATCCTTTCTGTCTTCTGCACGGTGCGTCCGTTGACCCAGACGGTGTCAACTGGACATTGGCCAAGGACATCACGCACAAATATCGCCTCACACTGACACTTGACTCAGTTCAAGAAACCATCACCGCGGAACGAGTCAAGATTGCAGAGGCTGCCAGTTCTGCTGAGCCTGTTACGGTTGGCGTGCTGTCCGTATGTTCTGATGATATCCAGATCGCAAGTACGAACTTCCTGAGGCGCCAGGATACGCTTATAAGATGACAGTACCTCCAACACCGCCACCACCATCCTCCACTGCGGAGGCCCATCTCTTCATCTCGCCTGCTAAAATTGTCGGAGAAGCAAATCATTCCCTCGTCTATCGTGCAGAGTGGGACTTGCCCCGTTCAGTGTTCTCGAAACCTCAAATTTGCATTAAATGCGTAGAAGTAGCCGCGCGGGAGATTTTACAGAAGAAGGCTGGGAAGATGATCGTGGAATCGGTGGATATCGATCTCAATGTCGATTCACTAGCGGGAGCGACTGGAAATTCGTTCTACGCAAAAGGGTTCTACCGGAGTAAGTGTAGAAATCACCAGATGTGATTTCAGAGATGAAGAAGAGCAGAGTGCTATCACTCACACAGTTGAAGAGACCACGAGATTGTCCTACGTCGAGTGTACCGGATGCATGTCCACTGTGCACATCGACACTGTCCCGTGGTACGACCCAGCCTCAACCACGCCCTGCCTTGCTCTCATCTCATGCAAAACTCGGTCTGTGGTCCCCTTCCAGGACAAATACCTCCCACAGCTCAAGTGTCCGTCTGTCGCAAAATTATCAGTCCCCGGAGAATGGCCATCTTGAACGGGAAGCAGTAAACTACCAGCACTTTGAACTGAATTTCTCTCAGTGTTGGACTGAGATACACACTTGCATACTCCAGTCCACAATCCCACTCCCGTAGGCGCAATTGTCCCAATTTTCTATGGGTACTATGTGAAAGAAAGGATTGCAGATATAGATTCTGGCCATGGGAACTCGAGGGACCAGTATTTTCAGTCCCATTCTTCTACTCGAAGACTGTGGCACGCCAATCGAACCTACTGAACTTGATTTTGATGACAGGTGAGTAGTGTATACGTGCTCGTGGTATTTTTGTATGTAGCTAATCTGACAAAAAAAAAACAGACAAGAATGTGCTGCTCTTCTCTTGCGAATGCATTACCATGGTTGGACACAAGGCTCTTTCTGGCCTCGGAATATTCTCATGCAGCTTGGCGACCACAGTGATTTTTCCCTGATGAAGTCTCCGAACGATAGAAGGTTCAGGCTGATTGATTTTGAACGCGCGAGGAGTTTGAAGGATGCAGTCGAAGCAGATCGTCGACGAGGCGATGGGAAGAATCTTGAAGCAGATAAATGGGATAAAAGGAACGATTTGATGAAAAGAGTGAGATTTGGAGAGTGTTGAATTTCCCGTTTCCAACGCAAATGAAATTGAACTTGTACATTTGACCTTGAAAGAAAAGCGGACTCTTCAAGTTCTGGAACGTGCACTCTGGTACTGGTACTGATTTGGGAGAGAAAACTGTATACTTCATGGTCCAAAAAGAAAGGAGGAAAAAAGTGAAGGACTGATGCATAACCTATTCACCTCATGCATCAGAGGGGAGTCGAACCCCTTTCCCGGCCAAACCAAATCCTTAACTATAGCAAATGGGAAGACCGGATCATAACCGTTAGACCACTGATGCCATTAGTACATGGTAGGTTTGTGCACTTCATATCTGAACGTGGGACGTGAGAAAACTTGAACGAGCAGGCGCGCGCTGGCAGCGGCGCTAAAGTAATTATTTCTCCGTCATCATCTCCATCTCGCGTCCACTACTCCTTCGTCGTCGATACACTAGGAATCAGGAACCAGGATGCCATACAAATACCCGCACCCACCAAATCTCAACCCTCATCCCGAGCCTCGCCCAGATCCTAATATTCGTCTAAACACCCGCCCCCGACCTCGTCTAAATGCCCTTTCACCCACAGGTCCCGGCCCAGGCTTTACACACATACCACAACCCCCTCACAGCGCTGGTCTGGGTCTGCAAGGACTCCGCCCGCGTATCGATCCGAGCCAGGTTCCTAGTGCGGTGGAGAGTGTTGAAGGGGATAGGGAACACTGGGGAGGACGCGGCGTGTACACGACGTTACCAGAGGTAGGGAAGAAGCCACCATTGGCTAGTACGAGTGAGGTCGAGTTTGTTGATCAAGGTCGACTACCAATTCACTAGCTGATTAACTACTAATTCATTTAACTTTAGGCAACTCGACCCCAAACTACATCCGTCTAACGACTTGGTCCTTCCCTTCCACGTCGAAACTGGCGAATGAATGTGGGATGCCCTTGGGTGCGATCGTGCAGCCGTTTTCAGATGGAGTTGACGTGCCAGGGGTCCGATTTGAAGATTCCAATTCGTATTCCTCTCATGCTTCCTCGTCTGGCCCACCCCGCTGCTCCCGCTGTCGAGCGTATATTAATCCGTGGTGTACATTTACCCACTTGAAATTCAAGTGTAATTTGTGTGAGGCAGAGACGGACGTACCGGAATGGTATGCGAGCCCGTTGGATGGGCAGGGTGTTCGGCTGGATGCGGGAAGGAGAGAAGAGCTCTGCAGAGGAACGATAGACTTGATCCTGGACCAGGCAGGGGAAGAATATTGGGGTGCGACAAGTAGACCACCGAAACCGCAAAGGTGTATATTTGCGTTTGATGTTTCAGCGCCTACCTTCTTCTACGCAGCCTGCGTAGCGTTGATTAATACGCTTTACGGGGACGGGGACGGGGATCGGGGATGGAATGGCTCAGAACTTGCTATCATCACCTATGATAGTACTGTGCATTTATGGGTTTGGGCTCCCGATCAGGATACGTATACTACGAACGCGCACGGGAATGCGAATGCACCTCGCCTACTTGTCATGCCAGACATCGACGAACCTTTCATCCCCGTTCCTACAGACGCTCTGTTCATAGACCCATATTCGACGAGTGGGAGAGAGGCCGTGAGGGCCTTGTTGGAGTCGCTTCCACAGCGATTTCCTTCCCCTCATACTGGTACTGCCCTTGGTTCCCTCCTAACAACTGCCCAGTCCATGCTACATGACCGAGGTGGCCATGTTGTCGTATTTCTAGGCGCGATACCGAGTGTCGGGTTGGGTGCGTTGCCCGCGCGCCCGGTGAATGAGAGCGAGGATAAGGAAAAGCTCGCATACCGCCCCCGAACTCCCTTCTACCCCAACCTCGCTAGCGAGTGCGCAGAACAAGGCATCGGCGTGTCCCTATTCTTGGGGAACGACGAGTGGATTGATGTAGCGAGTGTTGGAACCCTCCCTACTCTCACCGGCGGCTCTCTCTTCTTTCATCCAAGGTTCAACTTGGCCAGGGATGGGCCAGTTATGGAGAGTCAGTTGAAGGAGGATTATCTCCGACGAGACCATGTATGATTGTGTAGCAAAGGTGCGGTGTTCGAGAGGTATGTTTCGAGTTCGCTGTCTCTCCCTGTCCTTCTCCAATGCTTCTTCCCCCTTCCCCTTCCCTCGGTCGTTCATTGAAATCCACTCCCTCACAGGTCTCAAGATAACATCCCTCAACGGTCCCTTTCACACTCACCTCCCCCTCCTTTACTATCTCCCGGTCCTGGTCAGAGTCGGGGACCATGGCTTTTGGGGTTATGGATCCTGACAGGGCTTTTTGCGTCGAGCTGGGGATTGGGGGTGGACTTACTCCGCTGTCGTATGGCTATATACAAGTCGCAGTCCTGTATACTAATCCAAAGGGTGTTCGAATGGGTGAGTACCCCCACTACTTTACATCCACTAACCAACTAACTTGTGCCTTGGGGCGATCCCACAGTCAGACTCATAAACCTCGCCTTCCCCATCGTCGAACTCGCCGGAAACGTGTTCAGTGCGGCTGATGTAGAGACGTGTGTTTGTTTTCTAGGTCGCAAAGCCGTTTTATCACTCCCTAAAACCAAACCCAGCTTAATCCGGGACGACCTAACAGAAAACTGCTCCGCGATACTGCTAGGATATAGGAATTTGTGCGCTAGTGCGAATCGGGTTACGCAGTTGATTATTCCGGATACGATGAAGGCGTTGCCGACGTATACGTTGGCGTTGATGAAGAGTAAGCCATTGAAAGGTGAGTGCGTGTTCTCAACTCCAGCCTTGCATCGGTGAACGAAACTACCTTGCGCAGCCCGCCCTGTATCCTCCGACGTACGCAACTATCCACATCCATCGTCTCCTCAGTATGGGTGTTCGAGAGACTATGTTATATTTATATCCAAGGCTTTGGGCCGTGCACGATTTGGATTTGGAGCCGCTTGAGCAGGAGGAGCCTTCGCTGGGATCAACACCGACACTGGTAGGGAAGGACGGGGAGGATCTAACACAGTCCATTAACGCTGGAAGGGTTACATCTGAACGATAATGGTGAACCTGAGGCTGCACCCCCCGCCCCCTGCATCAGGCTCGGGTGTCCACAAACTCCCCAAGCAGCGGCTTCCACCCATAATGCGCCTCACCCACGAATGGATGGAGGCTCGGGGCATGTACCTCATCGATAATGGCGAATCGACGATTCTGTGGATTGGGAGTGAGGTGGAGGAGGGGTTGGTGAGGGAGGTGTTTGGTTCTGGTGAGGAGTTGATGGGGTTGGATCCGGGGATGGTGAGTGTTTTTTGTTTTTGTTTGTTTTCATTAATTACTAACTTGTACTCCTACTCCCAAATGCAGCCAACGCTCCCTCTCCTCTCCTCCTCCCTTAAATCCATCTCGCATTCCCTCCACCTAATCCTCCACACCCAATCCCTCCTCCGGGGAGGTCGGAAATCTCGCTTCTTCATCGCCCGTCAAAATCTGGACGCGGCGGAGCTCGAGTTTAGCGATATGTTAGTGGAGGATGAAAATTGTGGGAACTGTTGGGTATTTGGACTGTGAGTCTCTTCGCGCCTGGCTACTACTGCGTGGCTTCCTGTATGAATATAAGTGATTGATTGCTGACTTTGTTTTTTTGGCGCTTAGATCTGGCGATAATACATAAACAAATTTCGGCGGTGGTGAGTAACTGTGTTCTTGCTTCCTTCGTATTCTGACTTTTCCCCCTCCTCCCTCCCTCCGTTCTTGTTCTCGTTCTTACCCTCCCGGACAACGACACCCTCCTCCACACGCGCCGCATAGCTCACGGAAGGCGGATCTTTAGGAGGTGGGAGTGGATTAAGGTCGCCTTGGTAGGTGATCCGTTGGTCCGTAGGTCCGTATGCGGCACATGGTATACCTAGGTTAGGATTCTAGGTGCCAGGGTACTTCGGGAAGGCGGAAGAGAGCAAAAAAAAACCTGTATATGGTACGAAGACAGGATACTGGGGATGTAATGGTGTATTGCATATAATATAGTTAGTTATTTAACGTTTAACTGTTATGTAGGTCTATATATAGGTATATGTGTGGGTGTAATTACATGGTTACTGCTTAGATGGAGTCACGGAGGGGATGATGTCACGTATGCGGGTTGCAGTGAAAAAGGATAATTTACCGACAAGGAACACTCGGGATCGAACCGAACGCCATTACAGTAATTTATTAACATCGACATCGTCTCAATTCGAGGTTCATGACGTTCATGATGAAGAGTCTAAGGGCAAGTTATGTCAAGTACGTTTGGACCACGAACTACTATCCTCAAGTCGAACACTGGCATTCAATCTCGGAGGACGCCGAGGCTGAGAAGTTAAAGAGACATTGGATCTACTGCTCAGGATATCCTTTACTAGATCACTATCTGCCAGTCCATAAAGACCGTATATGATGAAAGAGTCGGTCATGATGAGTGATGAGTACCAATTCTTCGTGAGGGGGCATGCTAGCAAGGGAAAATGAGAGAGGTTTTCGAGTATGTCGAGTGGTTTCGACTCATTTAGGAAAATCAAATGATATAACACGTTTATAAACTGTTCCACGGCTTGTCGTGGAAGACATCGTCCACCTCGCGTGGACGGGGTACTGGGAATGAGGGGATTGGGCCTTAGCCGTATGAGGTCCATTCACTTAGTTAGAGAGCGACGTCCACTTCAGGTTAAATGATCGATTGAAGCTATTAGATTACTCATCGTAAATGGAAGCTTCTTAAAAAACAAAGAGACGTATGGAACATGAGATTCTGAACGACATCCAAACCGAAATGATATGAAGATACGAGGGCTCACCGGCATGAAGTGGTTGAGCGCGGTTAAACGAGCATTCGGGCAGGTGCGAAGGGAGGCTTCAATGAAGGAAGGAGGATCTTGATGCAGTGAGATGAAAGTTCCTGGCAATCGTCCTCTGAAATCATAGTTGGCGACGCAGTTTGAATTAAAAGTCACCACTCTACTGTAGGGAGTTAACTCTAATAGGCATCCCCTCTACGCCAGCTCACCCAGATCAATCCTCAAAACCCCTCCTCCAACCTGAGTCGCTTCCCCGATCCCACCATTTCTTGAAACATAGACACTCCTCTTATCCTCCCCCCGCCTCCCAAACCTCACCATTGTCGGATCTTCCAACAGTGTACTATCCAAACTCCCCGCAAGCACCATAACATCCCCCGTCTCAACGTCGATCTTTCCAATTTCGTTGTCGCTGTTCAGAGCCAGAATGACGTTCCCATCTCTATCAAAGGTAAAGTCATCTACTGGGATATCAGATGCGACAACT